TTTTCCAATATCGGAAAAATTTCAAATTCTCTCTTTTCTCGTCAACCGAGTAAGCTAGATATTTAAATGTGGTGTCAAATGTTCTCTTAAGGGGTAAGGAAGTTAATGGTGTATTTGAAATAACAGAATATTTTATTTTAAAAAATCCATAATTCAACCTACTATATTTAATATTAATATTTATGAGAATCAGTCACTTTTGGAGTCTGAGTGAGATGATTCTTTGACTGCAGTGTGTGTGTCAAAAATGATAACGGGTGTGTCAAACCGTTCTAGCGAATCTATTTGAAATAAACAAGATAAAATGGTGTACAGTGTACTTCAACTTAAATTTAGATCTAGAATAGTCAGTATCATTAAAAACAGAGTGTCAATACTATTCCTAGTCAACTCGGAATAGGCCTAACAGCTGTAGGCCTTAGGCCTATTTAATTAGGCTGATTTTAGTCGGAAAAAGATCTGCATGTGCAATGGAGAGAAACGACTTGCCTTCGCTGCGATGTTTCGATGGCACTGCGTATGCGTGTGTTTACAACCGCAAAACCCTAAACCTAGCCCTAATCCTATCCCTAGCCACAACCCTAGCTCAGCTAAATAAGGTCACTGCGCATGCGCAGAACTATCTTTTGCCGACCAAGTGGAGATGCTGGGGCGAAAAATCTTTTTCCGAGTAGTCACTTCGATTTAATTATTTGGGCCATTCAAGATGTCATAGGTTCGAACCCATCCAATGACTACTTCAACTTGCCTCAGGTTAGGTAGTGTTTCTTTCCTTTTTAAAAAAAAAAAAATTCTAATTTATATAGCCTAACTAGTTTGTTTGTGACATGATAATGATTGCATTCATATTTCAATTTAGGCTATATTCTATGTAAATTTTAAAATGGTTAGGCCTAAAGTCTCTGTTAGTAGTTGAAGCTTTAAATTTATTACTTTAGCTTTAGAAAGGATAATGAGGCCTAATAATTTACCTTGAAATATATGTGATATAAACATAAACTTTAGCTATAGGCCCCCTAATACTTTTTCATATTAAAGTCTAACTCAATTTAAAAACAAACTCTGCTTTTTTTATCTTTCCTCAGTCACGATAAATGCTATTATTATTATAATATATTATTGCCAGTCAAATAGACCCTCTCTGCATGAAATTATAGCCAACTGGGAATAGTCTTGTTCTAAAAATGAATGAGTAGACCCTTTTTTCAAAAAAAAAATTGTAACAAATAAATGAGGATGCAAACTTTTAAAAATGTTAGCAGTAGTACAAGTGAAGTATTCATAAAACATGCTGTTATTATTTCTTTTTACTAGCATTATTTTTATAACCCTACCTCAATCTCTCACTTTACAATCAGATCAATAAAAAGCATTAACCTTACGCCTATAAATAACAGTGACAAATGCAGAGACAAAAACTTGATAAATAAAAATAGATACTTTTCTCGTAAAGACTTTCTACTTCTAAAAGAACCATGCAATATATTGGGTCGGACTTGTGGTTAATTATTTTTAAACTACTGTTAAGATTATTATATCGTAATATAATAATGATAATAGATCTAGTAGGCTATAAGTAAGCTACTTCTGTGTTTTCTAGTAGGGTAGTACAATGATGTTTTGTTCAGATTATAGTACCATTATGTTATAGTTGATGTGACAAGGTTGTGAGAGGACTAAAATCTATCTTCAATTACATATTGTTGGTTAACATTTAAGTACTAAAATGTTAGTGGTGCACTTTCTAAATTATTTTTAAAAAATACAACGCACCAACTAATCTAATCTTTATTTGTACTAAGTGGGCCTATATTTTTAGATTTAAATATTTAAATTTAAACTGAAATTAGTATTGTTGGCCTAATTATTTTTTTAACATTTACTTTTAGCCCTATCATGTTAGGTCAGCAAGTAAATATACCAATTATGGGTATGGGTATAGCGAGATATGTTTTATATCAACTGGTATCAGTTATTTGAGTGATAAAGTAACTCCAGCATTTATTTAGATTGGTTTGGTTGTTGACCACTTTACTGTTAGAAAATAGGCTAGTGTTTGGTAAGATTATGGTCATTAACAAAGCTCATTTAAAAGTATCAAATAACTTTATCTATGTTTGGCAGGATATAGTTAAAAGCAGAAAGTTTAAAAGTTAAAAGCTCTACACCCTGATATTTGTAATGAAGAAAACTGATATTGATATGTTCACTAATGCCTTCAATTAATGTGTAAGCTTGGGTAATTTGAGAAATACATCCCAGAAAGAAAGAAAAACTTAAAACCATTTTAGACTTTAGCCCTTGGGTGCAGAGTTGAGACAATTTTTTCTCAAACTGTGTTGACCCAAAAATAGAATGTTAGTGGAACAAAACTATCTGTTATATTTTATTTACTATTCACATTTTTATTCTCAGCTGACTATTGAACTTTAAACACTACTTGAAAACTGTTACTGTATACGTGATGAACACTTACAATAATGCATAGTCCAAAACATTTAAGTCATTTTTATACAACTTATAGATACAATTAATTGATTTTTATTTTTCACTACATTAATTAGTTTAAAAAAGAATTTTGAACATAGAAAAGTAAGCAGTTTTCAGAACCTGATGGTCCCTCGCAGTTGTTGTTGAAGTGGATTACATTGGCTGTTTACATTTCCATGTGAACATTATTGGATTCCAATAATCAATTTCATTAAGCATTATATCCAACTCAGTTGAATCACTGTGTTCAGTCTGATTATTAAGAGTGGGGATGGGAGGTGACTACAGGCAGTGCTTCATATGTATAGAGGGGTGGAGATTATTTTTTCTAAATGCATGTCTGGAGAAAACTTAAGTTTGTTCAAGTATTAAACTAGCCAGTTGACTATACTTCACACACCCACTAGGTAGTTCGAGGTCTCATCGTAGCGACAGTTTCGGGCCTGGGAGCTATAACTAGATTGATAAAGAGCTATAACAAGTCTTGTTGCTTGATAAACATTGTACTGGGGTCTGTATCTTTTTTGTGGAGTATGCATAGAAACCTTAATTATAGTGCCTAAATGTATGTGTTTGTGCATAAATGTAGACATGTCAAATGATCTCATACAAAAGACCTCAGAGGCAAAATGAGAAATATTCTTTAGCATTTGAGAAAGTGGTCTATTGAGCCGTTTAATTGATTATCATCAAAGGAGGTTTGTAATATTGAGATATTTTGTAGGCAAAAATAACCTTTATCAAACCTGAAGTAAGTGTTGAGTTTGTTAATTTTGTGAATGAAACTTGCTTGAAAATCAATATGAAACTTACTGTACAGATGGGTTGATATTGCAGTAGTTATGAGCTGTTTTAAAGATACAACACTAACCCCCATATCACCAACCTCTGTAAATAAACATACCAATAGCTTCATTTGCAAAGGTACTTCCACTTCACCAACTTTTGTAAAGACGTACAGTACAACATACCTTATCCTGATGAGGAGTTATGAAGAAATGTTCAGATTTCTTCACAACAAACTTCAGTCAAACTGAACTTGAGTTTAAATTGACACAGCTGTTCATTTATTGATTCTTGGGTGTGTGGTTGTTGCCAATATTATACTTGGTGGAAATTGGTTACAGATGTGACATAGTCTATCTTGTCCTGAAATATTTTAACTCACTTCTGTGATATGATCTTTATAGTTCTTTATTAAAGTGCTTTCATGATTCTTTATTATAGTGCTGTGTTAAATTCTTTCAGCTGGGACTTTGCTGCATTTTACAAGATTTTAAACTTGTTTGGAACGTCTGTTTGTTTTTTTGTGGATTTGTGGCAAATCTTGTAACTCAATTTTCACTACTTCTAATGCAGCTTTTTCAATCAAACTTTCTAAATACCAACTTTTTTCTCTCTAATTAGATGGTCAGTTAATCATTAAATTTTAATTTGAAAATTCAATAACAGTTCTCTAGCGAGTACTCGGTAAACAGTGAACTGCCTGTCTTGGTTGGTTGATTTCTTGTCTGAATTCCACCCACGACTCAAATAGGGGCAAATAACTGTCTTTTAGAGCTTTTAAACTTCTAGTCGTGTCTTAACGCATATATTTTTTTAGTCACAGCCTATATTGTGTCAACTTTTTATAAAGGAATGACTAACAAGTAGAAAATATAACAAATACATAAACTTGTATAATAATAAACTGTTAAATGCACTGAAAATAAAAAAAAAAATAAAACGAAATTCATTCTGAAATTAAAGCTTTTATTAGAGAAAGCATGATTGCTTTATATTTTAATTTTCAGTACATTTAAAAGCTTGTTAGTATAAAGGTTTTATATTTGTTTTGTTCTGGAACAAGTTTTTGTTTTTAACTATTTTAAAAGGACTACACTATAATGCTGCTTAATGCCTAATCTACTGTTGATTAGCATGATTGGTTTGTTTCTATTTAGAAACACATTGAAACAAGCACTGCATTGAATACACATAATGTTATAAGCTTTATCCACCATTGAGTTAGATTTGTTTCTTTTTTTAGAGATTGCTTTGTATGTTGTATCATGTATAATCATCATTGTTTTTTGTGTTGAACTATCTTCTTTGTATTGGCCCACACCTGTGTGCATTGTTAAAACTGTGTTGTACCTAGCCAAGTATAAAGCCCTGTAGTTATCAGGATCAGATTTCCCTTACCTGCCCAAGGGTAGAGCCCAAAGGTTTACCTAACCTCTGATGTCATAGCTATAAATAGAACGTGACCCTTGTTTGTACTCAAGAGTTATTGAACTTAGAATTTGTACTCAAGAGTTATTGAACTTAGAACACAAATTTTCTCTTCTCAATAAAGCTGTGTAGTAGTTATTTTAAAATTGCGTGTAGGAATCATTATTTTATTTTATCAAAGTGAATTAATACATATTATATTTAATTTAAATTAGCTGCAGTTTTTGAGCGTGTGTACAGTAAACTATCTCCTGATGTGTTCTTATCTATAATCCAATCCAGTTTTATTGGTCTAT